AATTGATGATTAATATTTCAGATCCTCTCAATCAAATTAGTTGCTACGTGTGAGACGTAGTTGTTATATTAATTTGCAATGTCATCAGTCATTCCACGTTTGCTCACTAGGATCGTTGTGAACGTCCATCTATGCAGGAATCACTCAACTAAACTACGCATTATTGGTTGCATAGTTTTGTCAGGCTGAGTGATCGGGGTCTGTAGTTTTTATCTCTGAGAAGAAAGTTGGTTGAATAGCAAGATCGCATCTGGATGATTATGTGTACTGGTCTGCATGTGTATAAAATCAATGATATTTGCTGTGTGAGAAAATCATTACTGAATATGCCGAATATGACGGGTTATGTTGTGCTTTCTGAAGAGAGGTTATGTTCAAAGTTATAAATTACGAAAAACTAAGGATAATTACGGGAAATCATCACCGCGCTCGCGTTGTGTGTAATTACTGTTAGCATGTATATAGCTTGTAATTCGACAGTGTACAGTGAATATAATTATTTCTTATCTCTCTCATTTTTGAAATTCAGCAAATTTGTATATGTAATTTCCAGAATAGATAAGAAAAACTGGATGCGCAACTAATTTCTAGCTTTGAATCTCAATTAAGTGTATTTGAAACAAGAACCCAATGTAATTATCATCCACACATACAACTTACAGCTTAGACCTCCAGTAATGCCATCTCAGAAGCAAATTTTACATCACATCAGAGCCAAAGATTGACAACAAGCCTTATGACGTTTCGGCAACACGTACAATTAAGTGCTAAGTAGAATAACCTACATAATGTCAAAAAAACAGCATAAGGTCATAAAGAATCGGCATAATGTCACTTTTCAAGATACGCGATACCCATGCCAACCACACTGTGCATACCTCCTTATGTTCAGAGGAGAGCTCTCCGACTGGTTGGTGACACTCCTTTAACGGACTGTCTCGGGACATTTCACACTGACAATGGCGGATGGTCATCGATCTGACTCTCCTCTATCGTTATCCCAACGAACTTTGCACTTCAGAGCTCTCCTCCATGATGTCGCCATGCGTTGAATCTGCCAGGCGGATCCGCTATGCTTCTGTGTTTAGTCCTGACGCTGCCGAACTTCGTACATCCGTATCTTTGTTCTTAGGGTGTCGAGGTTATGAATCTGTCCGAGGAGGTTTTCCCAGTTAGGAACCTTAAGCGGTTCAAACATCAGATTGACAACGTGACTTGAAGCTCCTTATAGAAGCTGCGGTGTCTCGGCTTTTAGGCTTCTGCCTTCGCGGCTGTACCAGTGTGAAAAGACAGTGGGTATCAACTTTCGTGGTAAAACTACGGAATGATTGGACTTTATTATTACATTTTAACCAAAATGGGACAAATCTCGGGCTCCAAATCGAATATAGGACTGTTTTTACGATTTTCGTGTCTGAATCCGATTCATGGTTCAATGAAAGCAATATTCCAATTATCTACCACGCTAGCCATAATTACTCTTGCTATGTTAACAGTTTAATTCGTATCTAACGACATCCAAACATAACAACAATGCTTGTTAGCTGTAATCCAACTATGGAAAGGTTAGTCCAGACTATACATCTATTCACATAAAGCCAAAGCCCTTTGAATCGCAGAAGGACGGATCCAGATGACTAATTTGAATTTGATTCGATTTGTTGAACGCGAACGGTACAGTTGGATGAATATGGCTAGCTTCGTCTGGCCATTAGGACAGTTGGCATCGGTCTAATCCAATTCCAAATACTTTCGAAATAAACCCTTCCCCTTTAGACATAAAGCATTGAAGTCCGATATGAACATTCCATTTCGATATACCATTATGATTGCATATAGGGTAAGAGCTAATCCCATATTCGAACTAAATGTTACTTTAGAAAACGTTACTGTCAACTAAGCATCCTGCTTTCGTCCGACCACTACTATCCATAGACCGCCGTTACGCGTTTTTTGGTAACTGATCAGCATGCTATCATACCTCAAAGAGAGGATAGTTGCTACGCTTTCGTTTGTTGTCCCAGAGACCAAGCCTAAACATGCTGAAGAGTTTCCAAAAAGGCGAAACAGCTGTCCACGATGCACTGTCCGTGGCCGGACACACGAAAGCAGCATGGTCAGTTGATCAATAGCGGGTTGCCTACACCTACTATACCGCCAGAGTCGCCAGCCTCTAGCGGTCACAGTAGTGACTGGGTTATCAATCGTGAACTGAGATATTTACAATTGTGAGCGATAGCCACTATACAGGGTGTTTGCGAAATCTTGGAAAATCTCGAAACTGGAGATACTATAGACCAAAACATGTGAATTGACCTAAACATACCCTAGTCCAATAGTTGATTGTTTGCGAGATACAACAACTGACCGAAAAATCTTATTGTCTCTCTTCACAACAAAAAAGGTTTAAAACTTCCAATGCATTATTTGTAGCATGATGATAAAACATTTTTATAACATAATAATCAAGGTGCTTTCTATAATATCTCAGTAGCGTTGCTATGGTTTTTAACAATAACAAATGAGAATGGGAACAAAACCAATAAACGGAAATAAGAACTGCAACAATCCCGAGTTCGACGAACTAATCCTTGCTGCACTCTTCAAAGCATTTGGACGTTATTTTTCATTTCCTGGCTATGGTAGAAAATTCTTTGTCGAAGATCATCTACAGTTTCCACTAGCGTATTGTAAATGCGTCAGTTTAAACCACCCCGGAAGAAGAAATCTATAGGATTTAAGTCTGGTGATCTAGCCGACTAGGATACAGCTTCTGATCGACCTATGTACTGGTCTGGATAGACCCTATTTAGGTGCTCTCTAACTAATATACTAAAATTAGGTGGAGCGCTGTCGTCCGTAAACCACATATAGTCAACGCCAAACAAAGTGGCGTGCACGTCATCACGATAAAAATTCCCCGACCTAATGCCTAGGTTTCTATCACAAACAATTGCTCTATTGCAGTTTCATATTAATGTGATATATAAATTGTAAAATGGTCATTACTCTCTTATTATGGTTAATAGTCATATAAACATTGTTATTAAAATATCACATAAGTTGCTTTCTGATAAATTTAGACGCATTATGCGAAATAAAATGTTTTGCAAACGCTCCAATCACTTATCGACATGTAAACGCACTACACCGATTTCGCAGCGTTGACACATTGTCACCTTGAAACTTATTTAAACTGGGAACTGACATTTGTATTAATTTTGACACTGAATCAATTTGTGGCATTTCAAATCTTTATAAATCCTTTGGCCCCGCATACTGTAAATCAACAACTGTTTGTTTCAAAACAAAATTATTCATTTTACGAGTAGATAAAGGCAATTTTGGTATATAAAGATGCCCAAACAGTTAAATAGTCGGTGTAAGGAACTCGTGGCCTCGTTAATGCACTACTTTGAGCAAGAAAGGGACAACAACGGGCCTTTGTTGCCTTTAAATGCTGTTCAAGAGGTAGGTTACTAATAATTATATGTAATGTATATTAATAATAGTGAAATTTTATTTCATTTTTTGTAGCGTGTTGCTGCTGCTTTAAAAATTAGTTTAAGGACAGTTAGTCGTATTTCCGAGGGTGTGAAAAGTGATGCAAATTTAGAATCGCCCAAGAAAAAGCGGAGTTATATTAAACGTGTAACCAACACAGCGACATTGGATACAAGTGCCATTCGAGAAGTGATCTATAATATGTATCACAAAAGTAAGATCTTATTATAATAACTTATCAGAAATTTGCATTAATTTGTTAACTAAATTATAATGTCATATTACACATGGTTTCAGAAGAACAAGTTACGATACAAACTTTATGGTCTCGATTAAGAGATAGGGCATTATTTGATGGTAGTGCCACGTCTTTAAGGCGGTTGCTTAGAGATCTTGGATTTAAGTGGCTTAAGGACAATCCGCGACGAGGGCTCATGGAACTACCAAGTATAGCTTTGAAAAGGGTGGAATTTCTAAGGCAATACAATCAAGCCAAGGTTGAGGCCTTATACCAGTTTGTCTTCCTGGATGAAACTTGGATATTTCAAAATGGGACCATAGGTCGCTCTTGGCAAAATGGAAACCAAAAAAGCGTGAAAGCTATTAAAACAGATGGTAAAAGGTATGTACTTTTACACAATTTGCACTATAAAATTTAAAACTAATATATTTTAGATACATTATATTACATGCTGGAAATAAAAATGGGTTTATTGAGGGTAGTGAAGCGATATTTTCTTCGAAAACAAAATTGAGCGATTACCATGGAGAGATGAACCAGGACAATTTTTTGAAATGGTTTCAACATGTTATTAGAAAAATTGGAGAGTCCATCTATGATTATACTGGATAACGCCCCTTATCACAGCATGATATTGAACAAAGTGCCCAACAATGCATGGACAAAAAAAAATATCCAAGACTGGTTGACAAATCAAAACATACCATTTTTAAACACAATGTTTAAAACAGAGCTATTGAGTATTGTTGCTCGGTACATAATGCTTCTTAATTATATATATTTTGGTCGACAGTTTATATTTCTTTTGTTTATTCCTATTCTTAAAATAACTGCTTTTTTAGAAACAAACCACCTAAAATATACGTGATTGATGAATTGGCGGAACAACATGGGCACAAAGTTCTTCGTCTGCCTCCTTACCATTGTATATTTAACCCTATTGAGTTAATTTGGGGCATAGCAAAAGGTTACTATAACAGACATATTGGTAGAGATGGTAACAGTGAAAAAGACTGTTTGGATATGTGGAACGAGGCTCTACAAACGGTTACCCCAGACATGTGGAAAAATAGTGTTCGACATACTGAGCAAGAAATTTTTAAATGGTATGAAAGAGAACGAATTTTTGATCGACCAGACATCGAACCTTTAATAATCAACTTTGAGAGTGATGAGGATTCAGATTCAGACAGCGCTGAAGAAAGAAACTCCGACTAACTTTATTGTACAGAAAAAGCTTACACCAGTAGCTTACCTAATTTTAGAATGCATTTTTCTGTATGAATTCTGTAAAATAAATACCATGCATAAAATTTGGAGGAACCCATTTGGATTTTTATTCAGTACCTTTAAGCTATCAATTAAATATGGTAGTTTCATAGTGTCATCTGATCAATAATTGTCATACTTAATGATTATGCAAGTACAGATCTATAATTTTATTATACTATTATTTTTGTTCTCATTTGAGGTTAATATTGCTTATAAACCTAGATATGTAAATAATAAATTTTATTATTTTACAAAAAGTTTGGCAACAATGTAAATTTTTCAACACACCCACCTTGATGACGTGCACGCCACTTTGTTTGGCGTTGACTATATTCATGCGTGTTTGTAATGGAAGATTTTCCAGCAGAGTGGATAATTGTTCTTCAAGAAATTGTAAATACCTTTGGCCATTTAGTCTAGGTGGTAACTTAACGGGTCCTATTAAATATTGTCCAATTATTCCTGCCCATAAATAATTTCACTTGGTGGCTGATTCGTATTATTGCATGAGAATTTTCGTCTGCATAAATGTGCAGATTATGCGAGTTAATGGGCACATCGCTTCCAAATCCTGCTTCGTCCGAAAATAATATTAACGAAGTAAAACCATTATCGGGGTTAAACTTCCTTAAGAGCCATATACAGAATTCTACCCTAGTGGGGTCATCATCCGCGCTTAAACCATGTGTACTTTTTGCAGGTGGTATGGATGGAGCAGTTGCTCTTGAAAAATGATATTCACTGTACATTTGGAAACTTGAAATTCTCGAGCTACGTACATACCTAACCCTAACTGTAGGATTTTCAAAGACAGCATCTAAAACATTTTCTTCAACTTCAACTGTACGTACAGTTTTCTGAGCTCCACTGTGTTGGCCCATATTTTGAGCAAAGCTCTCTCTCGATTCTAGTAATAGATAGCGCTTTGCTGACGCAATTGTCATTTTGGAACTATCATTCACTTCATGTTCACATCTAGTACTGTGTGCACGACCTAGGCGTCAACATGGCGTTACACCTACTTCAGAGATGGCACTAGCGGAAGCCATTCGTTGCTTGAAGGGCCCATGTTTAAACGTCTATTATCTATGGCGTTCTATAGTTAGCGCTTACAGCTAGTAGGCGTGGGCTAGCTACTAGCTAGTACAAAACAGAGAAGCATATGGCATCAGATCACTATCATTGCGATTAGTTTACCTAAAGCGGTTGCAGACTGCTCTACCATATCTCAGAGTTTTCCGAAGTTCTAATCTCGTGGCACCAAACTGAAAATATCCTCAAATATCAATTATTTACGGTATCCAGCGGGGTGCTGATAACAACTCTCCAATATTTCATTTTAATCGTTCGGGCAGTGGGCGCAAACAGTTGCTATCGACAAGTGGCCACTTTTGGCGTCAGGCATTGCATGGCCCTCCTGATATCGCACAGATTACTGCCAAGGTCCGAAACAGTCCGGCGGAATGTCTGGAAAGGATTATTCCGGTTGAATTCGCAAGGATTCTCGATATAGAGTCGATATTTTTCAAGGAATGAGACTGAATGAACCATCATTAACGGACGGTCACTCGTCGGTACTGTCTACTGACTACTATCACTGAGGCTTCTCTGAGACTATGACCAACCGTATACAACGCCGTTGCATGCTTGTTCGCAATGACCCACATGCTGTTAATATCTCCATCTCAGTATTTTTTCATACGGTTATTGTTTCTGAATCTTGAACAGAAAACTTTTGCCATCATTCTGAAATCTCTAAATCAAGGGTAATGCTTTAAAATAACTGCTGCTAACAAACCAGAAAAATATTTTTGAGATAACACATAAACAATCCCAGTTTTCTTTTAAAAATGTATTTGGTGCTAATAAACTACACACATTTCAAATCGATTTCAATGATGCATGTGCTTGAACTTATAAGTCTTCAGTATCGCCGCTTATTAAACATTGCAATTTCAACTCTAGACATTCAACGCTCTTCTCTAGTATTACACGATATCATACGTTATCTGTATCGCTTCCAACCACAGGCTTTCTTGGCGGCCATTTTCCGAGCTCCTCCTGCTTCTTTTGCTGTTGAATTCTCTATTGACCGCTGGAACAGCAAACTCTAAGACTCTATCTTACAGACACAGGAATGCACTACCGAAAAATACTACCTTCACTTACCTTAATAACAGCTGCAAATTCATGATATAGCTATTTCTAGATATACCAGTTGTTCCCGCATTTTTCATCATGCCTGACCCTTTACAAGTAACAACAGTTTTCCCTTGACATTTTAGTGATACCACTGTAGTGGTATCGACGTGTACGATCGACCCGACGTGTACGTCGGGATGGCAACATTTGAGGTGTGCTCGGAGCTAGGCCTTAGCTGGACCTTGCACAGAGTGAGGAGGCTATATGGAGAAAAGTACTTCTTAAACGGCGCTACTAGAACTTGGCCATCCATCGAAACCTCCAAATTTCTCGCTGCTAGTCTTCTACTCTCAAGCTCACTGGCAGAGATTGGCACTCAGAATTCCTGCATGTAGAATGCCGCTACCAGCAAAACTGTGGATGGGACTGATAGCTTAATTGAACATGCTGCTCTTCAGAATTAAAAATATCAACAATTTGTAGCTTACTATTTTTTGTCGTTAATGTGAAAATTGTGAAACTTACCTACCTTTCGTGGTACACCAGCGAAATTATTAGGAAAGACAAGCATAAAGCAAAGTTATACAAGAAGTACAAAAAGAGTCACAATAACCATCCACATGAACATTACAAACGTGTTAGATCTGAGGTAAAGCGTCAAATATCTGTGGCCTATAAAAATTATACACGTAATGTTGAGATTTCCATCTGTCAAGATCCTAAAAATTTTTGGAGTTTCATGCATAGAAAAATTCGAGCTACCAGGATTCCTGGTAAAATGAAGTTGAATGACGTCTCACTGAACGATCCTTACTACTACTACAATGCATTTGCTTTTTTTATTAGTGTTTTTGCTGATCCATCTATTCGTAATGATTTTATCGAAGGCAGGAATCCTACTAGTCAGGTTAACATATTTTTCAATGACATTCATGAAAATGAGATTATTGCTGCATCTAAAAAACTCAAGAATAGAGTAACGTCCGGGCCAGACAACATCCCCTCGTTCATAGTCAAAGACTGTATTCATGTCTTTGTTAAGCCGTTATTAGAAATATACAATCTGGCTATAGAAACCAATACATTCTCTGATATTTGAAAACTTTCTAGAGCGACACCTATTTTCAAATCAGGTGATAATACTGATATTAAAAGCTATAGAGCGGTGGCAATATTGTCGAATTTCTCCAAATTGCTGGAGATAATATTGCATAATAGAATTTACTCCGCAGTTCGTAGATCGCTGTCCCCTTTTTAGCATGGTTTTCTTACTAAGAGATCCACAGTAACCAATTTAACAATCTTCACTCAGTTCGCTAGTGAATGTGTCGATCGGCAAGGTCAACTAGATGTAGTATATACAGATTTTGCTAAAGCGTTCGATCGGGTGGACCATGGCATACTTTTGAATAAACTTTTTTATTATGGATTCCATTGATCAGCTTTCACTCATTCAAAATTATTTTCATGAAAGGAAGCAATATGTTACTTTTAATGGATTCAAGTCGTACCAGTATATAACTAAATCGGGAGTGCCTCAGGGTTCAAATCTTGGTCCTTTATTGATGATGTTGCGCATTATTTAATAATAAGCTCCTCTTTGTGGATGATTTAAAATTATTCAGGATTATTGAGTCTGAGACTGATTGTTTTGCACTTCAGCATGATATTGATTCTCTAGTGGCTTGGTGTGATGAGAATAATTTATTTCTTAATGCGTCTAAGTGTAGTGTCACCTTTTCCAGGAAAACTTCTGCTTGTAAATTTAATTATAAAATTAGGGATGCTTACATAAATCGTTATAACTCAATTAAGGATTTGGGTAAAGTTTTTGACCATAAGCTTAATTTTTCACACCACATAGGTCAAAAGGTGAGTGAAGCTTCGCGGGCGTACGGATTTATTTATTTTGAGAAACTGTAGAAGCTTTAGCCGCCCAGAGTCACTGTTGGTCTTGTATTCTGCATATGTTAGATCGAAATTGGAATATGCATCGTTAATTCGGAACCCAATTTACAACTGCTACATTGATTCTCTTGGGCATGTTTCTATAATTTTTATAAAGTTGACGGTATATATCCTGAACGTGATGTATCTGAGAGTTTGTTATTGTCTAGGTTTCAAGTGCAGTCTTTAGAACTGAGAAGGAAGTCTGCATCAACTGTGTTCTTGCATAAACTTTAATGTTCCATCTATCCAAACTCGTAAAGCTAAAACATTTTATTGTGACGGGGCTCGCACAAGTTCGTTTTTGAAGGCACCCATATATGTGATGTATGAAACGTTCAATGCCATATCAAATTGTTGTGATATACATGCTGATAGTTTCAATAGCATTCTGGGAGCAGCTAGAAATTGCTTTGATAATTTACGATATGTTACTCACTTGAGTGAATATGTTTTTTTGGTTTCTTTTTCTTGTTTGTTTTTTTCTTTAGATGAAATCACCTGCTTTTTAGGTGATTTCTGTTCTTGTTATTTTGATTTAACTTAGGATTGTCCTGTAAATAGTTTCCTCAACTGTTGGGCAATAAACACTATTTATTTATTTATATTAATTTTATTTATTTATTTAGTAGTCTTTGGCGGGCCAAACTACAGGAATTACTTTCATACATCAACATATACACATGTAATCGGCCTTTATGCGCGGGGGTTTCTTCGTGTAAGCTCATAAGCATACGTTTTTTAGATTTAACTCCCACTTCGAAAATTATGTCCTCAACGTATCGTCCTCCTCACATATAATTTGTATTCAGTTTTAGATGATTTACGATATAGAAAGTACAGTCACAGTGTTAACAGCCTGTGATAACTTTATCAGGATTTAGTAGGCGAACGAAGACAACGGTTTTTTCACCCAATTCTTGTAAAGAGAAGTTAAGCTGTTCACATGAAACAATTAGCCCATATGATTACTTATTTCGGACAACTTTGTGACGTAACCGCCAAAAACCGTGAAAAGGGCTGTAGTAATATTAACTCAAATCTGGGTCAAACCGGACTTACGACTGTTTACCCGTCAACCACAAAATAGAATTTTTCAAGAAGCAACTTTTCAATCATATACTCTGACCCTAACGTTATGAAAAACTTATAAGGATCCCCAATATGCGTGTATCTCTATCAGTCAACGTCAATCGTATCAGAAACTTTTTTATACCACAGCATAAAGCAATTGGGGTTGGAGAAATACGAGGGACACCAAAACCTATTTTCCTACGACCAATACCGGTCTACCCAAGAGGGTAAGCTAAGGGTACAAGAGCTCATCATTCATGTTCACAAGTGACCTCGTGCCAACTTCAGCGGTTTTATTGGCTTGTTGAATCTTGCAAGGCATTATGAGAGACTATCAATTTCTCGATCACAGAGGCACGAGGTACAGATAATATTATATTCTGGGAGCCGGTATTAGTCCTGCTCGGAAAAATATTCGGATTTGGATTTTTTCATCATCACTGTCAAAAAGTATATTGTAGAAAAAAGGAACGGGCAGATAAACTGTACATGGAAAACTTTCCGGATATTATGGCCTTCCAACATACCTCTTTAGTAATCAAATCTCCTAAATAGTATCTACGCAAGATAGACAAAATGTTGTAGGTACCCTTAATCTAGAAAATTTCCATTTTATGAACTTATCCATGAAACGATTAATGGACAATAAAGCATTATATTCAAATCAATGCCAGCTCTAATCATGGTGAGGGATAGCGGCCTTGACATTATTTTGGTCGATAAAAGGGTTATGCAAGCTGTGCCGTACTACCTAACCCGGTACTGCCTTTTGTAACTCTAATAGGAGAGTAAACCATGTATCGAGTGATAAACTGACGTCCGTATTATAAAACATTGGCAGAGATAATACCGTATTTATTCCACTTGTATGATTCCATTATTGCGTTTTCGATAAAAGATGTATTCATCAACATGTTATTCGTTTCTGGATCGAGCACTGGAAATGCTCGATTGTCTGCTGAAATATACCAGTAGAGTGAATTTTCCAGACTCTGATACAGATATATATATATATATACATGATTCGCAAAATGGACATTTAGGAATTTAGGGTAACTACAGCATTTTATCTATCTTGCGCAAAAACAAAGGATCAAGGATAGTTGATTATCTAAAAGGTATTTTGGAAGGTTATAGTATCTGTAAGTTTTTCAGAGCTATGAGACCCTTAGCTGCCCACTAATTTTATGAATAGCGTTTCTTCAACGACACAATTTGAGGATGAACTTAATGCGAAATAATAAAAGATGACTTTCAAAAAAATAGTGCAGTCTCAAATGTAGCGATTTTCTTCAAATTCCTAAAATTGGCGATTAATCAAAAACAATCTAATAAGAACTTATTTGGTTTTCCTAGTTGGAAATAATCCCCCTTTTCCGTTTGAACCACAACTCTTGGGACGTCCTATACAGAAGCAAAATAACTTAGGGCCATAAATTGATACCTGTACTATAAACTAGGTTAAAACATAGTCCTATTCAATGCTAATTTCAGTAACAAATAGACAAACTAACACCACACATCAAACACGCATACACCCGGTCTAATCCCCGAGATTAGTAGGGTTGAACACATGAGGTTGAACCCTTGTCATATCCTGTAAACGGATCATATCGCCCTAGCAGATGATCCGCTGTATAAACGCACAAGACTACGGTTTCGGTTTCTGGATCGCCCAAACGATACAAACAGCTTTGTGTTGCTGAACGGCAAAACTTTACACGTCGGAGTGCGGTTTAGAGTTCCGGACATCAGGAACAAGCCTGCTGAAGCTCTAAAAATATAAATTTTTGGTTTAGATGACATGAAATATATATATATATATATGTGTGTGTGTATATATATGCGAGTAGTAGTCATTGCCATTGCCAATGAACAGTTGGGCAATGGCAATGACTACCACATTATCACAAACTACATTCGTAACAGTAGCATCAACAAAAAACACTCCTTCTAACACAACCTGTTAAATAAAACAAGAAAATTTATAAAAGATCATCCTGAGTTAGTAGTTACAGAAGCAGATAAAGGCAATGTTACTGTAATTATGTTAAGAGAACAATATGCGTATGTAATATCTTGATTGAGAATGATCCCTCTTATAAAGTTATCAATAAAGACCCTACATCTAGAGAAAGGATGCAATGGCATTGTTAACAGGCTACTCAGCACTGGTCAAATCAACCAGGACCAAAAGAAGTATAACTCTGTCTCTCCTAAATTTAATGCTTTTCCCAAAATACATAAACCGGTTCTGTCAGAAAGAACCATTGTGGCATCTGTTGAATCAGCCACACTTGCCTTATCTTCATTAATTGCAGATACCTTAAAGTCAGCTCACATTAAAGGAGAGTACTATACAAAGGACTCTTTTGATGTTTGTCAACAATTTAATAGGTTTCAAATACCTCCTGATCATGTTATCACTAGTCTAGGTGTAGTCTCACTTTTCAGTAATATTTATTTGGAAGCTTGCATTAGATCCATCGACAAACATTGGGATCAAATATGCCAACACAACAATCTAATTCTGGATTCTTTTATTAATATCTTAGAGTACCTTTTCCAGAACAATTATTTCACTTTCAATAACAAAGTGTTTGCACAAATACATGGTTACCCCATGGGCTCAGTGTTATCTCCATTTTTGGCAGAACATGTGATGGATGGCATGCTTGATATTGTTATTCAAGTATTGCCATATACATAATCTAATCTTTATAAAAAATATGTGGACGATATCATTGTTTGTCTTCCTTTTGAAGGGGTGGATGATATTGTTGAGGTTTTCAACAGCTATGATCCCTACATTCAGTTCACCATCGAAAAAGAAGATGATAATCAATCAGTTCCCTTTTTGGTTGCAAGATTGATTCGCACCAACGATAATATATTACTGGTAGTCTGGTACAGGAAACCAATTTCCTCTGGAAGGTTCCTGAGCTACAGGTCTTACCACGAACTTAAAATAAAGATAAACCTGGTGAAACAAATGACGAGCAGGTTAATAAAGATCTCTGACAATACTTTCCAACTTTCCAATTTAAGGAAGCTGTCTGTCTTATTCATTAATAATGGTTATCCGAAGTATTTGGAAAACAACTCTCCTCCTAATATTTTGCCAATTACGAATAACAATATTGACAATGAGAACACTGTCCTGTCCAACCCGACGCTCATTAATTCTTCAACTAATGAGAATGACAGCACTACGGTGGATGCTTCTATTTCCAGAGTTAATTATTTGTCTTGCCATACATCAAATAATTAACACCAAAATTGATCAGGCTGTATAATTCCTCTAATTGTCGTTTTGCTTGTAAATCAGTTCTCACAGTCAACAGTGTGTTTTCCAAAATGAAGGATAGGGTTCAGTTGCTTGATTCAACCAACACTGTCTAACGCATTAATTCAGTTTACATAGGCCAAACATCGAGATCACTGAAAGGCGGGATAACCTCACACAAAATTGACGCCAGATTACATCCAGATAGGTGTGCTTTGGCATCACATGTTAACACCACAGGTCATTCTATGAGCTATGGCAGTATTAAGGTTCTTCACAAGGAAAAAAATTCTCAAAATATATATTTTTACAAATGTCCCACATTTTCATGACAGATCATTGCATGAACAAAAAGACTGACGTTAAGCAGCTCATTCTTACTTGTTGAATTGCGAAAAGTTAGAACGTTGATCTAACGTCATCCCAAAATTAAAACACAATTCCAATTATTTATCCTGTTAATTGAAACATTTCCCTCACGGTAATAATAAATTTTAATATATTTTCATGCAACCCATCTTTTCAAGCCTGTATCACCATCTTACACTCGCACACTCATATGAATAACACTTACCAGAACAAATTTGATTCAGTGTTTGAGGTTTTATCGAACGTCCTTCGTATACACTATACCTGAAGTTTGGCAATGATGTTTACATTACCACCACATTCCTTCGCGCCAATCACCTGTCATCTGTCGACGCATCATTCTTCCGGTCCTCTCATTTTCTCCGCGTGAAGCGGATGTAGGAGGTAAGAGGGGACTTTGCCGGTTTTGTCCCCAAAATTGCTTTTCGATCATTTTTAATGTGTTCGGGTGTATTGATATATAGTGTTAACACCTAACGATTATTTCCGTCATTATCAATAAACCCAATGTGTTCTTCCGTTTGGTTTTATATTTGTAGCTAGTGCTCTCATCCACGCGTTCGTTTTGAGCACCATTTGGCTGCAACCTCAACGACGAGTAAGTTGTCTGACAGTTTAAAACCTTCCCTTATTGGTTGTTTGCGTCATAATTGTGTTTTCAGCTCCTGAAGATGGCCCCATAGAGCATGCCGAAAGCTCGAGGTTACCGTTAAAAGAGTTTACTAAAGCCTAAAATTTTGCCAATTTCCCAATTAACAATTAGTTGTATTTTTTGCCTTATATATACATATATATATATCCCATCTAGCAAAGTAGTGTTATAAGCTTTTGGTAAAAGAACCGTTCAGCCATAAAAGCTCTCTATTGTTGTTGCCTGAACACCAAAATGCTGGCTTAATGTTGTGTGGAATGCAAATTTGCTTTCTGCAACATATTTGCTCTAAAATGAGGTGTTTAAAATATTCGTATAGCATAGTTATACAACACCTTATAGGGCAAGTTTCTAACTGTTGCGTAAACGTTTATACAACTATCTTATACAGCATATTTTCACGTTAGTCAAAATGGTTGTGTTGTGGCATCCATGGTAACGTTTATAAAACAAACCGGAGCCTTGTTGTTTTGCTGTGCAATTTACTACTTTAGCCAACAAATTGCTCCCAACGGAAGCACTTATACAACTGTTGTTTAGAAACTGTTAAAGGCTGTACATATGCTAAATATGTTGGTATACAACTTCACCATAACCTAACTTTCTGCTGTCATATTTTTGTTAAAATGTCATATCAATGTTTTAAGACAAACAACGTATGCATATTGGTTCAAAATGTTTTATCAACCGTTCAAACAGAAGATATAGATCTGGTACAAATTCTGGGTAAATCATTCGACTCTGTCGGTATTTCATTTCAGACATTTGTCAAATTGTTGTATAACACCTGCAGGCAACACCAAAATATTCTAATAAACTAAAGACAACATGGACGATGCCATGATTATACACAACCACCCGCCATATTGGGCAAACATGTACTCCTCTATTTAATATTAAATAATTATGTTTCAGTTCGAAATTACAGATATAAAGTGATAAACATTAGTGTAATTGTGTCCAAATATAGGATTTGTGGAAGATTTAACGCAGATAAGTTCAGTTTTCCATCTTAAAAATCTAGGCATACTTTTGATGATTATCAAAATATGAATCAAATATGAAGCCCGTAGAAATAGCATAACTACTTAGCACCATAATCACAATAAAATTTGCTGCGCAAGTATTTCAATAGCCCTATACCACAGTGTAGAAGTTTATCATATACCTGTGTATGAAATTCACAATGGCCGATATGTAAATAAGTAAGTATTGTGTTAGTTATATATTCTTTACTTCGTCTATACAATACATAGAAATATTTTGGTTGCAATAAAGTAGAATCATGTAACAGAGTAGTTGTATAGTTGACAAAAACTGAATCTTGCACTGACGCAAATTTCCTATAGCGGCTGCAAGAGGCTTACACTTTTGTTGTATAACTGTTACCTGCAGCCCTTATACAACCTCTTAAATGACTGATGTGTCCTATTAGGTGTGCCTATTCCGCTTGTATAGGTGTTCTAAGAGGGTTTTGCCAATGTTCTTACAGTATACAATGCTGTGTAACGAATACTGTATAATCATTATTGCAACTCTAATAGGAGTGATAATTGTTAGTTGGGATACGTATACTGTTAACTCACCATACTAACCGGCCATAGTAAACAACCACATAAATGTAGACTTGAGTTTTTACTAACAAATCGGCTACCTCGGTAGTCATTTTGAAAGTATAGATAAAGTTATGGTGATAATATATTTTACGCTGTCTGCTGGAACTGTATCTTAGTTCGAATTTGACGGTCATTATTGTGGCCGCTAGATGCCGTCTATTCTGGCGGTCTACTCGCATTGAAAAATCTAGTCATATGCTTTCATCCGTCAGACAACAGACAGACAATCATCGATACCTGCTTTGTGCTTTTTGGCAACTCATTAGCATAGTCTAGGGTAGAGAATGGTTATTCAGCTTTCATTCGTTGTTTTACCTGAGATCAAGCCTAGACCATGATGTTATGTTACCAAAAAGCACGAAAACCGTTTAAGAAGAGATCAATCTTAACAATATTTAGTTAGACAAAACAGAATCGCACTACTGGTTCAGTCAAATACAACCAAATAACTATATAGATTCGGTGAAGGGCAATCAAGTTTTAGAACTGACATGGCACAACATTTTTTTACTAATGTCGTACAAGGAATTCCGAGATATATTGTTGCTGCCCCTTTGGAATCTTCGTTTTGCAAAAAAAAACATGATATTTTGCTGTTTGTTTTCTTAACTTCACTTCACTTTGGCAAATTACAAAAGGATTACGTACAATTATTCTCTCTGTTCTGTTCATCAGTACTATTAACATTTTGATCCTATAGTGGTACTTGACTATTTCATCCTTCGGCTTCTTCAGTCGGTGCCTCTTCTTCGCCTTTTTTGGCTCCTTTTTCTTCATCAATTTTAGAACCTGCTGAGGTCTTTGAAGCTCTCGACGGTGATTTGCTGGCGACTGATGCTTTCGATGATGCTTTTGAAGATGGCTCGGTGGTTTTAGATTCTTTTTCTTCGTCGCCGTCTTCTTCCTTTTCTTCTTTTGGTCGCAATGTGCAGGCTTCGTTATCGCAATTGTAGTCGGTGCAATATTCTTCTGCAGGCTCAGGTTCTTCGGTGTCTGTGCAGCCGTATATTTCGCAGTCTGTCGGACCAGAATCGTCTGCGTAGACAAAGAACGATATTATTATCGATATTATTAGGAGATATAAACATCTAGGAAAGAAATTATATCTAGTAGGTAGACAATCTGGCAACGTAAGCAATACTATGCTGTAGGTACTGAAGTGACTTCGTAGCATTCCGAAAGGGCGACCTTAGACGGGACTCACCTCCATTTGATATTTTTCAAAGTTCTAAGAGCAAAAAAATCATATATACACTCCTCCACTCTTTTGTTTTTTGTCCGTAGATCCGCCTACGTCCTTGGCATAGTAATAACACTGTGTGAAAACGTCATCCAAATCCGAGAAGTATTTTCTAAATTATAGAGGGGCCAAGGATTTGCAGACAGACGTACAGACTTGCAAACCGAAAGATATACATGTACATGTCATATAACATCCAAAAAACAATATCTCATGTTCGAAATTTTTTGCAGTTCCAATACTACCTATACTCTGGGCGCTGAAGAAAGACATTAAACGAAAACAGTGATCAGCACGTGAACAGATCCCTCGAAAGCATCCACGGATATACTCCAGTCACTTTAGGTCTAAACATCCTCGGCAGTGTATTTCTAGTGAATCCACAGACCCTTTTTCGTGTCATCTTGAGACTAGAAAAAGGATGACTGTTAAAATAAATTACCTTGATCTTTCATGAGCTCCCAGTACAAAACATCATCGATATATTTTTGATGTAGGAACAACAAATTGGTTTAGAAAACATCCACTTTGAACCTAAATTGACTGGAGTAACATCGATCTACAGACAAATTCAAGGTCACTAGCAGTCGTCGGCGCTCTACGAATCTGCACAGGTTTGGACTTGTAAACGTGATTGTAAATGACACGACATGCATCTAACAGTTAATTCACGCACACGATTGCATTGCATACGCATTACGCATTCAGTAGCGTATACTCGTTTTTCGCGAGTGGAACGTTTTGTTTATATATTGCCTAAGATACGATGTCTGACACAGATACAGCCGACGAAGTGGTTGACATCAGCGCAACCCCACCCAAAAAAAGGGCTAAGAAGCTACATTTAAGTGCAAATGAAAAACAAATAATATTAAATATATACAAAAACCAAATTCACGAAAAACCCGATTTGGTCGTGGACGAAGTTATATGTAAGGTAGCACATATTTCTGGAGTATGTCGGTCCAGTGTTTATAGGATCATTAAGGAATATAGGAGCACTCACTCACTTTCTGAGCCAAAACCGTATCCTGCAAGAAAAAGGATAACGGACGGAGTAGATGACTTTGACAGAACTGCCATCAGGAGGAAAGTGCATAATTTTTTCTTCCGAAATGAGATACCTACAGTAGATAAGATATTAAGATTAGTTAATGCTGATGAGGATCTTCCATCATTTAAAAGAACCACATTCCGAAAACTTTTGAAGGAACTTAATTTTCGATTCTTGAAACGGGGAAGAAACAGTATGTTAATAGAGAAAGAAGAAATTCTTGTGTGGAGAAGGGAATAACTTAGGAAGATTCGGAAGTTTCGCGATGAAAAAAGAAAAATTTACTATTTGGACGAAACGTGGGTGAATGCTGGACATACTCAAGCGAAAGTTTGGGTCGACAAATCAGTAACATCATCAAGGCAGGCTTTTCTAGACGGTCTTTCGGCTGGATTGAAAAATCCTGCAGGTAAGCTCTTTCATCTATCCGGCAATTTAATTTTGATAAATTCGGGCAAATAATATGCTGTGATAGCAGATAATGTGTGATATTCTCCAAAAATGATGCATTCGCAGTGTAGTCATTAGGAAAAAACTTCGACCCTCTTTTAAGCGTTATTTTGAACTTTATTATCATTTTTGGGTGCAGTCAATTTGCTTTGAATGGGTTTTGAGAAGTTGCAAACTTCAATTTTCTACGTTTTTCAGTTTTTGATCAGCATTCCGTGACTCTTAAATTCAGCTAAATGAACTCAATTGCCTCATTCCTTCAAATTTAATCAATCCATAGTGTAAGGAATAATTTATTTCCAGGAAAAGGCAAACGGCTGATCATTTGTCACGTAGGTAGTGAAGATGGCTTTGTTCCCGAAGCACTGTGGGCCTTTGAATCAAAAAAGACAGGGGACTATCATGAGGAGATGGACGGCAATTCCGTTGAAAATTGGTTCTCCAAAATGTTACTAAAGCTGGAGAATAACGCTGTTATTGTACTGGATAATGCCCCGTACCATTCTAGAAAAATAGAAAAAATTCCCACAATGGCAACTAAAAAAGCAAACATACAACAATGGCTGGCCTCAAAACAGATCGATTTTGATGAAACAATGGTCAAGGGTGAATTGATAAGTATAGTCAATAGACATAAATACAAATACGATTTTAAAATGATCGACGAAATGGCCAAAAAACAAAATAAAACTGTCTTGAGACTGCCACCCTACCATTGTGAGCTGAACCCTATTGAGCTGATTTGGGCCAACATAAAGCAATACGTGGCGTCGAATAATAATACTATAAATTTTCTGATGTTAAAAATCTCTTTCACATCGCAGTCAATAGAGTTACCTCAGAGGAATGGAAAAACTGCATCCGCCGCGTTCGGGAGAAGGTTGAGGTCAAAATGTGGGATTTGGACAATGTCATCGATACCCAAATTGAACCTCTAATAATTCATTTAAACGATTCAGAAGATTCAAGTTCCTCTTCTGAATGAGTGCGCGCAGCTTACTTACTAATAACTAAAAAGTGTAGTTAACTCATTTGTGAATCTCTAACTGAAATTTACTGTAAAAGATAATAATTATCTTGTATGAAATTTTTGATGACTACCCATAATATCTTGATGCGGTCCTGTAATGTCTCCTGCGCCTAAACACTCACTCACGAGCAATATGCGTGTATTTGTTTGGGTTTAGTTTCTTTCTTCAGCGCCTAGAGAATAGCGAGTAGACGTGGAAGTAAAAAATTCGCACTTGCAATGCCTTCACTAAATAAACTACCTGTATTCAGATTGACAACTCGTCTGAACGATACATGGCAAGAGACTTACAAATCTTGCCCTAACGGAACGATTTCTCAAAAAAGTACGTCACTGAATTTCTAGAACAACTTCGTGAAACAGTATTATCCAAAATTCACGAACGCACTTTTTCTTAAAATAGATATATGTACCTGCTGGACTTCCACTAGGTGTACATATGGTCACGTTGCCAGGCAGGTTTTGCAATATTGCGTGCGAAATTCCTTGATTCTGCATAGTGGAGGGAGTACTACTTCTGGGTGCCACTGAAAATTTAGAAAAATACACGTTTGCATTGCTGCATTAAGTATAGATTCGTTGAAGTACAGTTGTTTTTTTAGCTATAATAGAATAGAGTGGAGGTTCGTTCAGTTGAGTAAACATCCATTTTATTCTATTTTCATGTATTTACGGACTATAAAGACAGGGGAATAATGGGTTACAAACACTGAAATAGAGGAAGAACACACTCATTCACTTATTCTAGCGATAACGTTGTCAAGTAGAAGTCTTATCTAAATTTTTTGTATGGAGTATTTGACAAGATAGTTAGTTGTCAGTGTTGACGGCAGTGTGAACCTCGAGCTCATTTTGACAGACTCGCTTAATTTATGTTAAAGGTTTGAGACTTAACCACTAGAAATAAACACAACACAAAATGTAACAATTTTCCAGAGCATTAGATCCAAGTGATACGCCTTTTTAAGTTCATGTTAATGTAATGTTGCCGTTCAAAGCTAAATAGGCATCTATTCTATTCTACTCTATCTTATACAGTTTGCTTTCCGTTCGTCTTTCTCCAGGACTACCAGACATATTCCTAGGAATCATAGAGTAGAGAACTATCTGTAGTGTGGCTAATAATCTGTGGATGTAACGGTTGATCGTCATTGGCGAATTTATCACACTGAAACTGTCAAAAAATAGTTATCGTTCGTGATAAAAGTCGTATTCAAGTTGGTATTTTTGAAATATTTTGTAATTAATTGCCTACATTTCACATTTTTGCACGTATGTCGCAGCTTGGTTGTGGATGTAAATGTGAATGCGCAAGTACCTACCTGTCTCATCAATAATAAATTTAAAGTATTTTCTAGATAAATGATGCAAGTTATACTCCCAGGAAAATGACAATATTCAATGTTTAAAAGTTTACAGGTTATCCATACCGCAAAACTGTAGGTCTGGACATTATTTGATTAAAAAGTATGAACAAAATAATTCCAAGGTAGGTGTATGTTTTGAAATGAATACCATTAACTGTCAGGAGATTATAATTTATTAAGGATTGATATTCTAGTTATACTTAATATACATAATATACTTCGAAGTTGAGTCATTTATTTTACCAGTGACTAGATCTGATCAAAAGAAATGTTTTTTTCCTTTAACATTTTTCTGGTAAAATTAAAGTAACAAAGTTATAGCCCTTTAGAAGTTTGAGTACCACCCTGTCTCAATAATAATATTATGTGCTCGTGTTTCGCAACAACGGATATAATCCGCCTTATCGGTTCATCGCATCGGAAACAAAAAAGCGAAAGAATTTGAAACGCTTATCATGATGTTTTTGGTTGTATTCAGTCAATGTGTCAGTCGGTAACGCGTGAGTGAATAGTGGTGTTTGTTGCGTGGCTCAAACCAAATAAAAAATGGCACATGTTTACGAAAATGCTGAACTTGTGGACATGATTCTTATTTACGGGGGGGGAGTCCTTTACAAAATGCTGCCGCGGCATCACGGATTTATGCGGATCGGTTTCCCAATCGAGTGCAACCAACCCCTCGTGCCTTTGTTAATGTAGTACAAAGGGCTCGTGAATCAGGTGACTTAAGACCTCACAGGGGAGGGTATGCCGGGGCTCCAAGACCGCACGATCAAATACAGGTCCGCACTGAAATACTTGTCGGGAGGATACTTTATAAAACAAGGTAAATTTTTTTTTAATTTTTATTTTATTTTTACCCACATATTTTGGTTTATCTTCCTTCTACAATCATTATCTGAAAATTAATGACTCAACTTCAAAGTCACCCTATATAATTTTGAAAAAAGCTTGTGCTGCCTATATTGATTAAACGCTAAAACAGTTACAAGGAGAAAGTTTTAGGAAAACTATAAAATTGATTCTACGTGAATTTATAGACGAACCGCTACGGTTTCCTTATAATACGTTATCCCGTTCCGTTTCGTGAACGATCCTTTTGCGCGTATTGGCTAAGGGATATAAGGCTCTTAAAATGATCCAAGGTTTGTGTCAACTCATTTTTCAGTTATTTTTTAGTCATTTTTGGAGCGCATTCATAAAAAACGCCTCCCACCGATGTAAGCATCGTCACCACAAAATATTTCTACCCATTTTGGTTGCTTTCTTAATGTAGTGTGAATTACCTCGAGGTACCTAGAAGCATTTAGTAGTACGTCGATGTCCCAAGACACACCAAAGAGTATTTAAAACTAATTAAATATCCATCATATATCTTTCTAGTGAAGACTTACTTCCAAAGTGTCAAAAGGCTGCCATTCGCCATCTTTTTGTATATGAGTCTTATCAGCGATTTAAAAAATACGGCCCCAGATCGCTATCATAGTGATTATCTTACACAATACTGTAACCAGTCAAAGTTCAAAACAAAGAGATTCGTTAATCTAAATACGTATTATAGAGTGAGCACAGGTGCTAAGTCAAAGTTTACTTTCGAATAAATTAGGCGCAATTCCTAAATAACACAATCATAGTGGTTTGAAATTGAAACTAAAAAATATAAAGACCATCTCATAAGATTTTAGAAACCATCTTCAAAGTAAATATTTATTACCCTTTTTCAGTTTCTTAGACTTTTGGTCGCGGCTGCGAAATTGTAGAACAAAGGATTCCGAGTACTATAAAAGACTGACGTGACGGTTCGCGAGCCAGACTCATCCTGATTTCTATTAATGCGTTTATGTGAAGTAGATAAACTGTGTCATCCAGGTATTTATATTTCCACAATTGCGCTTCAAGTGTGATCATGTCATTTTACAATTTGTCTCTTTTATTGATTTATTTATTCTATTCTTAGCAATTCTTAAACTAATAACATAACCTATCTCTCCTATGATACTTTCTGGACATAATAATTTTTCTATGATAGAAATGTATGCCATTGTTTGTTTTTTAATACCTCTCTGGTAATTTGAATCTTTTAGAGCTTAGAGCTTAGGTTTATAACTGTTGCATCAGTAGTCCTAGCTGTTACCCCTCATAGCAAAATGTGAATCAATGCAAAAACTGCGAAAGGTAGATGTTTGAGTAACCGTTGTTAATACATGAATCCAATATACTCTTTTAGAAACTCCAATGACCACGACACATAATATAAGCATCCAAAAGTGTTTATTCTTTTCTCTATATCTAAGGATAATGGCGGACCTATCTAACCTTGCAAGATGTAGTACAGACGATAAGAAAGTTTAAGTTCGGCTGAGACATGAGATTGTATACCTTGTTGGGTTGGCAACCAGTGACCCTCTTTTAATAAATAGGGGGTTGGTAATCCAAGAAACTGATATTGCAATACGGGTGCCAAACCGGACGACCGAGTAACGAAGTGGGGGATATAGCTACTGCGTAGTGCTTTTCACAGATTACTGACAGAGTTTCGCAAAAACAGCGTGGAATAATCTCTTGAACTAACCTTGTCCCTGCCTTGACAATGATCCCCTCCTCGAACCTGTTTTGGATAAACACGGAGGCATCCGCTTTCTCGGATGCGCCTCCATCTTTGGAATACTTGTAGTAGCCGGGCAGGTCGGAGCACACCCTTCTTCATTGGCTGGCGTTACAGTTCTATACACCGACCTAAATTGGAACAAAAATAATCAATGAAATCCTTACAGAGACAAGTCTTATTGTTCAAGCAAGCGTATATGATTTTGCTGTCAGAGAGTTATTATGCGCATGACAGTTGGAATCATCAGAAGATATAACACCCACGAGCTGAGTAAATCTTTATGTCTGACGTGATTTGTCAATAACGTTAGGTAACCATTGTCTAAAGAATAAATTGTATAAATTTGTCATTGAAAACATGGATTCTTAGCGTATTTTATTCCGGTATGAATATGGTTAGCATATCGGACAACGATATTGCAGGAGCATTTGACAACCTGTTTAAGATCATTAAACTGTCATGAAGAGTGGAAAACATATGATACGGTGTCCACCCAGATCCTGATTTTGATGAGATTGGGACTGGCAGACCGATGTCTGAATGCCAAAATCGTCGAATTACAGTTATCGTAATGATCTGCACAACTACCTGTGTGCCACACAGAAACGAGAAAACTGCGTAGAGCTAGACATCGGTAAGCAAATTATTTCTGACAATGCAAAACAATGCAAGTTGCCTAATGTCAGCTTATACGAGTAGCTTTGAAAATTGTGAACGTCTTTGATCACGGAACAACATAATCGAGCCCAAAAGGATGAACTAACCTGGAGTAAGATGTAACTATCGGCGGCAAATTAACTGCTACAGGTGTTGGTGGAGGAGTTTTGATAACGGATCGAGAATTACTGCGTGCTGCAGGCCCTGAGCTACCTGTCATTAATCCGGTTTGGTCACCTGGACGTTTAGTTTTGGTCGGTGGGGCGAGGACCGGCTTCTTCTTTGGATTGCACTTGCCTATGCAACAGTAACCAGTGGCAATAGTTGAGGAGCAGACTTTCAAAAAGCATTAAGTGCAGTTTTTACGAAATTGGCCAAAAGATGGCGATCAAATGTATAGGTTCATCTCCGTTTGTCAACCGATCCTTGGACATCCAAAACGATGTTAAACGATAAATATAACGCCCGTTAATACGCCTGGACTTTCAAAGAGCGTTATTTTTTTCTGCGTTGGACAAACAAATAGACTTTGATAAGCTAGTTAGTGCGTGAACGCTTTTTGTTTGTCCAGTATATTTTGGATGAGCAGCAAGTAAACCCTTTTGTTTGGACACGTGTCTCAAGATTGTAATCCTGTCGTAACTTGCTTCAGTTAGCATAGTGATATCGAGTGGGTTAGATCGGTCGGACCACTATTATGGATGAAGAGCATATTGTTGGTGATCAAGACAGAGGCAGTAGAAAACGAAAATGGGGTGCAACATCACGGCAGCGGCAGAAAGAAATACGGTAGATATAGTAAATTATGTTATTTGGGGAATTTTCTCATAGTTTGCGGTTTTATTTCTAGATACGATGACCCTGATCCCAACCTTGATGGTTTCGAAGTCCCCTGTAAGCATGGCAGAAATAAAAAACTTTCATGTGAGGATATTCCTTTCGAAGATCTAAGGCGCTGCCGACAAAAGTTTTATTCACAAAAAGACAAGGTTAAGCAAGATACGAAACTGTCTCATTTAATTGAAATTGGAACTCCTAGGAGAAAGAAACGTTCAGACCAAAGCTTTACTAGAAACCGCAACATTACTGTGCATTACAATGTGTGGAGCTCCAACAGCAAGAAAAGAATTTGTCAGAAAATGTTTTTAAAAATTTTTGGTATTAGTCAGAAACGCATACAAAATATTTCTAGGCAAATGAAAGCTGGATCGGGTATTTCTGAAAATCGTGGTGGTGACAGACGTTCGCAGAAAAATGTGGAAAAGCGCAAAAAAGTGAAAGCATTCATCGCAAATTTAAAGGGGCAAGAGAGTCACTACGGAAGAGCGAAATCTAAAAGGATATATTTATCTGCAGAGTACAATATCACCATACTACATAGGCTATACAATGATAGCGTTGAAGAAAGCTATAAAGTAAATTACAAGTACTTTAGTCGCATTTTTTCGAATGACTTTAACATAGGATTCGGTACACCGGCGACCGATGTTTGTGGATTCTGTACGCGGCACCTAAATCTGCTCTCTATGGTGAACGGCCAACGCGAAAAGCAAACTGTTATTACAAATTTAAGAGTACATAAGTTACGAGCAAAGCAGTTTTTTAAAATGATGAAGGAAAAATCTGAAGACGGCATGGCATTCTGCTTCGATCTTCAGCAGGTACAACCTCTCCCTAAAGTACCGATTTCAGAGGCATTCTATGCACAGCAACTCTCCTTGTATGTTTTCTGTATCACAGACATACCTTGCAAGCGACCAATTTTCTACTCATGGTTAGAACACCAAGCAGGAAGGGGTGCCACAGAAGTTGGTTCTGCTCTTTACGATTTTCTCAGAAAGGCTGAATTTCCAAAAAACTTGAAAGAATTGACGTTGTTCTCTGATGGATGTGGAGGCCAAAACAAGAACAGTCACATAGTTCACATGTTAATGATGTGGCTACATAAAGAAGCACCAAAAGGCCTGCAATCTATAAGAATGGTTTTTCCAATAAGAGGTCATTCATACCTGCCAGCGGATCGCATTTTTGGACGATGTGAGAAGCTTATTAGGTCCCATAGCACACTAAAGTCACCAGAAAAATACTGGGAGTTGTATTCTCAAGTCGGATTGGTTCGAAAGCTTGGGACTGACTGGAAAATATATGACCTGAAATCCGTTTTGTCCACTTTTAAGAAAATCGAATCAATCAGTCATGCTAAGCGAATCTTGATAAAACGGACTTCAAAACAACATGTAGCGGTGAAAACAGAAACCTTTTACAGAAATGACGATGCCAACGCCAAGTACTTGACGTTGTTAAAAAAAAACAAAAAGATTGAAAACTTGAGTTTTCCAAGGTTGCCTTTGAATCATGAAATAAAAAGGACAAAGTTGAAAAGTCTGCATAACCTTTTGGTGCAGCTATCCACAGAAAGATGGCGTGAGGATGAGGAATTGCAATGGCTTCGTCCTATTTTCCCAGAGCCCCTTGAAGAGCTACAAGAGAATAGTGATGAAGACAATGATGAAGATAATGCCCAAGAAGTATGTAACTGCATCGAGGATGATGGTGGAGTGAAAGTTTGAATATTTTTCTCTAAGCCTATTTTTTATAAGATTGTATTCATCGGTAAATGGAATAAAGGTATTTTGACTTAAGTTACCGTTTCCCAAACAGAAGGACTTATTTCACCTTCGGACAAACAAAGTGCATCAAATAGAATCTACTTTTGGTCAAAAAATGGAATTTCTTTGTTTTCCAGGTAATCCTCCTTCATCATCAAAGCTTATCTATTTTCGTGGTATTTGATTCACCAAAATCAAGCATTTGGAGCTACGCATGTTGTCACAGCAGTTTTTTCCACTTTCCTCAATTTATGCGGATCATAGCATAACGCTTTTTGAAAGTCTGCTCCTCAGTTATCATATGTTTAGCTGATGCTTGGATGTAGTACAAAAAAGCATGAAAGACAACTGACATTCTGGCATTTTTTTATACCGAAACAAGTAAGATTGTTCCACAATGTTGATACCCTAGGAACGTACCCGCCAGTTCACCAAAACAAGCACAGTTCTTTGCACGGTTTTTGGCGTTTACGTCAGCAGCAACTAATGTGCCTTAGCAGCTCCATGGGAAAATTATACACTGGACAAACCAATCTTGAATGCAGCTGCTCTTGCGCACATTAATTGATTAATGAAGGACCATTGCTTTCATTCTCTTTCTCAAAACAGTCCAATAATTTTGGCGAAATCCGCCAAAAGTCGTAGAATGTATAAAAAATGCAGCTAACGTACAATATCGATGGTTTTTGCCAATATTATGAGGTTTTTGAGAAAGTGCAGTGGAACTTTATAAAGCAATTGTGTAAGAGCAGCTGCGTCTAAGATCGGTTTGCCCATTGTGCAATGGAGCTCAAGCTCAAAACACTGTTCAATTAGTCGCTTTGCTACTTACTTCGCACGCCATTGATGACGTAACCGCAAAAAACCGTTAAAAGAACTGTACATCCTTGAAGGAAGTTCGATACGGTTAGCATAGGTGGCGGAAGTTAGGTAAGTCTGTCTGGTTGACTCATCGTGCGGAGACTTGTTGGAGGAGAGTTTTGAGTTCTCGTTAACGTAGTGGTCACACAGCCCTCTTCTGAGCAGCATCGGTCAGGGATAATGTAGCCTGCGTCAGCAGCCCAAACTTGTGAGCAGTACTCTAGGCTAGGTATTATCTAGGCTATCCCTCAAAACCGAATGAGCGCTAGGGCGGGCGCTTCTTATCAAGGTACAGTATTCTGTTTTGGGAGCATTAAACTGCGTCAAATTGTTGCGTCCCCAATATAGCCAGATCTCTCGATAGAGAGGAAGTCGCTGCTAATCTTCTCTCCAACTCACCGGCTGGGATCGGTTTGGCAAATTTCTGCATCAAGAGAAATGTCATCAGTAAGTCTGTGGATCGGATTGATCGTACAGGAAAGGAGGTCGTTGATATGTAATCGAAGTAATGTCAATGCCAATAACGATCTATGATATTGTAGGATGAAGAGAACCCATCCATTATGACGGATATCTTGCAGCCAAAGGGAAAGTCTACCACCCGTATGCAAAACATCTCTGAGATGCCCTAGGTCGAAGCTTGCATAAGAAGGTAGGATGACACAGCTGATCGGAAGCTTTCGTGATAGCAAGAGCAACGACATAAGCCTCACCATCTGACTGAAAGAGTTTGCTCCACAATTGTGTAATGTAAGCTAGGAGGTCCTTGTGGATCGCTGGTGCCGGAAACCATATTGGCTGACGCTAATCAAGAAGCGATGTTAAAGATACTCCAGAGGCTCCCGATTTATGGAACTCTCCATCAGCATGCTCACAACAGAAAGCAGAGCCAAAAGATTGTACCTGTAAGCGTCTGTCTTAGTTCCTTTTATGGGTACAGAAGAAACAAAAATTTGACAAAAAATCATGCTGGACTTAGAAAAAAATGTTCCACAGAAACAGCAATCCAAATGGTGCTGGAAGACTGGAGAAGAAGTATAGATGAGAAAGAATATATTGTAACAGTATTTTTAGACTTCAAAAGGGCATTTGAGACTATAGGTAGGGAAAAATTATTAATGAAATTGCGTCACTATGGCTTTAAAGGATCAGTATTATACATTTTACAAAATTATTTAATAAATAGAAGTCAAAAAACTAAAGTTCGAAATATTATGTCAAGTGTTCAAAATATATCAGTAGGGGTGCCACAAGGGAGCAAATTAGGGCCGTTGCTATTTATTATTTATATAAATGATATCTCTGACATTTTAGAACACTGCAAAATTTTAATATTTGCGGACGATACACTAATATATACATATATATATAGCACATAAGCATTTGGACACTCCTTTAGAGCTGTTAAATAGAGATATTATGAATTGCTTAAATGTCAATAAACTTAAATTAAACACTAATAGAACAAAATGTATGTCAATAGGGAAACATTTAGGTAACATTTACAATTAGGCTCACGATTAATGCTGAAAAAATTGAAGTAGTCGAGTCATGTAAATATCTGGGTATATATGTGGATAGTAAGCTACTGCTTCACGAACATGATGAATACATTATTCCAAAAATATTGAAAAAGGTAAATTACTTTTATAGAGTTTGCCATAATCTTAGTATGTATTCCAAAAAAAATTGTGTATAACACTATAATTCTTCCCCATTTTTTATATTGTTCAACCATCTTGTTTAGAGCAAATAAAAAGATATTTTCAAAATTACAAATTCGACAAAATAAAGCTATGAGAATCATTTTAAATAAAAACAAATATGCTAGGATTGAGTCTCTGTTGGAAGAATTGCAGTGGTTGGATGTGAAAAATTTCATGTTTTATTTAGCTCTCGTTTTCATACTCAAATTATTTATCACCACCACATTCAGAAAACTTTGCAAAATTAAATAGTAGATATCATAACTATGAAACTAGAGGCAGTATAGATTTTCATCTGCAAAATTGTAAAGCATAACTAGTAAACCTATATTTCAAAAGGGAGTATTTAAATTTAATAAATTGAATAATGATATCAGAGTTCTAATTTAAAAATGTTCAAGCTGAAATTGAAAAATCACTTTATGAATAATCAAAATACATAGTGACGTAATTTTAATTTTAATAGACAAGAATGTAATATTACAGAAAATGGATTGAAGAAAAATATGTAACCGAATCATTATACAAAATTGACATTGTAGCATTAATGCTAAATAAATCTTCAACAACAAAAAAAGGCTAGACTTGAAGAAACGCGAAAGCCCCTAAGCTCATCTTTTCAATACAACAGCAGGGATCAAGCCCGAACCAAAAACCTTTTAACGACGAGAGTACCCATATTACGGAGTTATGCCTAGATGTTACTTGCCACATAGATTATTTAATAATTTGAACCGACGGCACTCCACTTGGTATGATAGTTGTCAAAATTTGGTGATACCAAGGTGAAGGGGGCCGACAGTCACTGTCGCATCTGTCTGTGTGACAATTATTATAACATCTGTAAGCCTATAGGTATATTCTTTAATTCACTGGTTGAGCTACCTGTGCAACCGGTTAGCCAAGTTTGCGTCCTTTAATTTCCGCTGGAACGACCGGTTGTACACCAAACTTGTCTCTATATTGATGGTGGATGTGTCACCGGTGCCAACAGCATCCACCGACGTTCGGGCTCGGTTGATCCATGATATTCTAACCTCTACATTTTATCAGTTTTTGACAACTACAGTGTTGTGTGAAAAAATGGAAGAAGAAAAGATTGAAGTTAGCAGTGAAAGTCGCGTGAAATTTAATGTTTTTTTTCAACACAATTTGAAATGAACAGAGCATCTGAAAGCAAGTCAATTTGTTTTGAATTATGCATATCGACGATCTCAAATCAATACCTCGTAAGTCCGAAAATGTAGATGTTCTGATTTTGTTCTGTTTTTATTCCTGTATGAAAATAGGAATGCTCTCAGAAAATCCATATCGATGGTTCTTATACGGGAAGCATCGACGATCTCAAATCAATGCCTCGTATTGGTTTGAGATCGTCGATATATGAAAATCTCTTGGTTTTCTGATTTATAGTTCTTATATTGATTCTCGGAGCGCAAATTCTCTCCGATGGATAAGTTCTTCATCGGAATCATCACTCGAATCGCTTAACAAACGTTCCACGACAATACCAACTGTTGCCTACATTTCCATAATGATTTTAAATGATACGGTATTCAAATTAACAAGTATCCATTTACGATAAAACAAAGGTTAAGTTTTCTCATATGACAGCAACCTAAAGGCTAAAAATGCGTCTTTTTATTAACGACCATTCAACGGAACCGGTTGCTGACGTCATCACATCAGCTGTCAACCATGAGTTCACCGGATCCATCAGTGATTTGAAGAATATACCTTATGTATTTAACATAATTATGAAAAAATGCTGGATGTGATGCCTAGTTGTCATTTTTCATCAAAAATGGTGGATGTGTCTACTAAGTATCCGTAATATAATTTATAATTTAGGCTCTTGTGGGACAACTGAAGGGCAACTTTCTTCGGCCTTTTTCTCACAATGATCCTTACGGCCCTCTTATTGAACCTGAGTCAGTTTTTCCAAATTACAGACAAAGTATTGCACATTAACCTTCATAAGTATCCTTCATGATCTCCTTATACATGGCAGCAGCTGGAGTTTTAGCAGCGGCTTGGAAATATTGCAATTTCTGCAACTCCGCTCGCAACTGTTGTATCTCAGCTTCGGCTTTGTCCACTTTTTCAGCTAGTTCCTCGGCCAGTTTCTCTTTTTCGTCGACGCCTGGAGGACACGCGCAGAGTTTGACTGGAGGTTCTGGGGGTTCCAGGTTTGAACCACAACCGCATGGTCTGTCTACAATTTAAGAAGCAATATTCAAAGTGAGCCTGACACTATTGTTTCAGCTACTCATTGCTAAGATATACTGAGTGACATAGAATAAGGAACACGTATTAATAATGAACTTATTACAAAATTTTCTAGGTTTATCTTTATTTAGGGTAGAGCAAAAAACAATCAGCCCTTCAACAAAATCAATAAAGTGGTTTTGTGATATCTTCGTTCTGATAAAAAAGTAAGTAAGCGATAGATCTGCTTGTAGCTACAATTGGCATTTGGTTATGGTGTCTTGTGAAGAGCTGCTTCAATATGTTCCTTAACCTTTGGGCTTTGGGCTTGTGTAACGCTGGTTGGTTCTCTAGAGAAGTAGCCACCAGGGTACACAGAAGTTTAAATATGGTGGAGGTTGGTTGTCGGGCATGGAATTAGGCTTTACACGAAGATCTAGAGGTACAGAGCATGTCAGAAGGGTTGTAGTCTCATCACTTAATTTACAGACATCGTACAGACAGGAACGGAACCACATGTTTTACCTTATACAAATATCCGATCACCAACTCATTTTTCCAACAAGATAATACGCGACCACATACAGCCAGATTTACGTTGGTCGATTTTGAAGACAATTAGGTCGATTTGTTGCCTTGGCCCCTTAGACCTAACTTTCACCCATTGAACACGTCTGGGACATTATGTGAAGAATATTACCTCGCTTACCCCACCTTCCATAGACTCCAGTGGCCCTTTGTCTAGTACAAGTAGCCTGGGATGAGATACATCAAAAGGAAATCGGTCATCTGATTAGGAGTTTTCCCAAGCGTGCTTCTGAGTAAGTAAGACGTGAAGGCCCCACAAGCTAATTTTTTTCATTTTTTCAGCGGTTGGATTCTACTGAAATTTTGAACAAATGCTTACCTAACCCTAAAAGACATGAATACAGAAAATTGCTGTAATAAATTCATTATGAGCGGGTGCAATTTTTTCTGTCACTCAGTTTAGCTTCTGGTGACATTTCAAGCCGCAATTAAAACGGTACCATTATTAAGTAGTAGGAAGAAAATCCCTTAAGTCGGAAGTACATCTTTCAAAAACGATCTATTAGATATATATCTAAAGACACTCCTGAAGCTAGATGCAGGCATTAATTTATAAATCCTAATCATGACTATCGTATCATTCTTCATTTTAGCAACAGCAACTCATATTTTTACAATAAATCTTAAGCATTTAATATGAGTTACGATATTACGCAAAACAAGATCTTAATAGCACCTAAATCAGTACTTGTAAAAGATTTAATAATTTATATTGGTCTAAAAATTTACATGTCCCTCACTGAAGCTATCAAAAGAATCAATAATTTTGAATATTCTGCTGTGAACTCAAAAGTATTCTAATAAATAAACTATAGTATGCCTTGTATTAGTTATACCATTCATTTACTCAAGTAAATATAGTATATATCCTATGCGCCTCAGGATGTAAAAGTACTCGGCAATGCCACACTTCTCCAGCAAGGAATGTAATGCGCTATATTGTTGGTTCTTAAACAGCATACATAGAAACTATTTTAATATTACGTCTTCCAACAGAAGATACCTTCATTTTGTGAATGGCCACAATCACATGGTCCTCCCGCTGAGGTTGATTTGTTTTTCTCCTCTTCTACACTCTTCTCTGCACAGCAGCATTTATTTTGAGATTCTGAAGTAAAAAAATGGCGTCAAGTAGATTGACTATATACTTCCCACGACTTCGAAACAACTTCTAGTACAATCATCCTATTGCATTAAAAATAATAATAATAATAATAATAATAAATTGCTTTTATTGCTCATGTAAGTACAGAGAAAGAAAAAGTACATAAATTTAATGCAGTGAGCAAACGGCAAGGTTCGCTTGATTGACAACCATTAGTTGTCAATCCGCGCTCTTCCACCTAACCAAAAAAAAAAAAAAATAAATAAAGTAGTATATCAGTAATAATAATAACAGCAAGAGAAAATTTGAACGTTAACACAGATACATATAGACATATTATGTTTTAAAACTATATATTATATTATACATCCATAGATGACATATAACTGTTGCAGGCACCTTGGTAAAACCTATAATATAAAACGAGTTGATGCTTGAATGAGATTGCTAGAAGTTGTAGCTAATATCTTATGAAAGGAAAATGTCAAAGATCAAAAAAGACTCCTTGACTTTGTCTGGTTTCTGGGCAACCAGGACTGACAGATTCGAATAACGTACATCAGACAGCGAGTAATGGGCAAAGGTCCTACGGACCGCCCAGACAAATAAATGACGAATAGTACGAAAAAGACATACAGAAGAATAATAGGCAAATCAGCGTGCAGTGTTAAATTTAAGTCATCTCAAGTCTCAACATAGTCTTCACTTCACGCTTAAATCTCAAAATTGATAGGGCTTTAATTCTATCAGGCAGCGAGTTGTAAACCTTAACAATGTCATATGAAAAAGAGCACTTATAATTTGAAGTTTTAAATTTAGGTAGTGAGAGATGATGTTTAAACCTCGTGTTACGACTATGCACTTCTGTACGGGTCTTGATCTTCTTGTAAAGATAGGATGGTGATTCAGTATTGAGTATCTTGTGGTATAGTACGGATCGATGAAGGAACCTTCTTTTCTCTATATTGAGCCAACCTAAGTTCTTTAAATGAAGAGATATCGGCTGCCGCCTTCTAATACCACTAACAAACCTGACACAAGAATTTTGAATACGCTGAAGGCGCGCCTTATCTCGATGTAGCAATGACGGACCGTACGCGCAGTCTGCATAGCTGAGGTGAGAAAGAACTAAAGACTAGCACAATATTATTTTTGTTGTCTTGGTTATTATGCTTCTGCTATTGTATAGCAGTTTCAATGATGAAAATGCCCTTTTGGTTATAAGAGAGACATGCTGGGAAAAGCGTAGATCTGTATCCATAATAACCCCTAAATTTTTAGCGGAGTTTGTAAAAGTTATTTTGTCTTGTCCGAAATAAATGTCTAATTTATTGGAGTATAGTTCACGATTCTTGTTTTTACCAAATAGTAGAGCCTTAGATTTAGTGGCGTTGACGGAGAGACAATATTTTTTTGTTAGCTGATAAAGAACCTGAAGGTCCTCATTTATGTTACTTAAAGTTCGGTTTATATCTGATTCATTAAAAGCAATATATAATTGAGTGTCATCGGCGTAATAGTGATATGAGACGTGTTTAAAACTTTTGTGCAGCTGAGAGGTATACAGAGTGTACAAGAGTGGACCTACAACAGATCCTTGAGGTACACCTCGACAAACTTTAGACAATTCGGATGTTTCACCAAAGCATTTGACAACTTGTGCCCGATCTTTGAGATAATTTCTTAATAAATGAACCGCACTTTTAGAAAAACCCAAGTAGTGAAGAACAGCAATCAGTAGATCATGGTTTAGCTTATCAAAAGCCTTCGAAAAATCTAATAAGATTAAGATGCATAGGTTGCCATCATCAATGTATTTGCGGATATCATCTGTTACTTTGAGCAAGGCTGTTGTGCAGCTGTGACCTGATCTGAACCCTGATTGGTTTTCTGGAAGAATGTCATTTTTAGCAACAAAGTCCCTCATTCTAGCATCCAAAATCATTTCAAAGACCTTTGATGGAGTACATAGGATGCTGATGGGTCGAAGGTCGCCCACATCTTCAGGGTTGCTCTTTTTTGGTATGGGAATTACTTGTGCAAGCTTCCAAATTTTGGGTATTACATTGAATTTTAGACAGTAATTAAAAATATGCGTGAGATATGGTAAAATTGTAGGGCAGCTGTACAGCAGCATGCTGATACTTATACCGTCGGCACCAACGGCTCTTGATTTCAATGAAAGCAATTTTTGATATACTTCGTTGTCATTAGTGTACGAAAACTCAAATGCTTCATGAGGGAGTTGCGTATCGGAGAAGAATCGAAGAGTGTACTGATCAGGTTCATTATTATCACCCGAGATGGATTGCATGAAGAAGTTGTTTATTTGGTTTGCAGTTCCTAGGTGTTGAGGTAGTGAATTCTGTTTTTTATTAACTATATTCAATTTTCCGAGTTCTTTCCACATGCGGTTTTTATTTAATGCAACTTGTTGCTCAAAATATACTTGCTTTTCTTTGTTAATCGCGTGGTTAATTTTGTTCTTTAGTGTATTATAGCCTAACCAATCATTGTGATTCTTTGTACGATGATACTTTCTTAGTGCCTTATCTCTTAGTTTCATCATTTGTTTCAAATTATAGGTAAGCCAAGGTGACCTTTTTCTAGATATGCGGACTGTTCTGATAGGAGCATGGAAATCGAAAATATTTAACAGTAGTTCATTCAGATAATTCACTTTCATATCTATATCCTTAAGCAGATATATTGGACTCATGTCAACATTATTCAGGTGATTTGTAAAAAGCTCATAATTAAAATGTTTAAAGTCTCTATATGTGTAAAGAAAAGGTACAAAAGTATTCTTTGAAAGTGTAACCTCACATGAAACTAGGGCATGATCAGATATCATAGAGCAGTCTAATGCATCGATAGCCGAGATGTTTAGTTCATCTGTGCAGATAATAACATCTAGCAACTTTGAGGACTTAGGTGTACATCTAGTGGGTTGTTCAACTATCTGCTTCAAATTCAAAACGTCTACCAGGTTTAGTAGCTGTCTACTACAAAAATTGTCATCCAAAAGGTCGATGTTTAGGTCTCCTGCACATAAGATATAATCATGATTAGGAGCAAGTGTGGACAACGTTACTTCCAAATTATCTATAAATTGGTTCACGGGGTAATCTGGGGGTCGGTATAAAGATCCTACAGCAAAATTTTTCTGGTTAAAGCTTACGGTGATCCATAGTTGCTCAGTATCATGATACTCAATATTATTTATAACTTTGCTTTTAAGGTGATTTTTGACATATAAAGCTATACCTCCACCTCTCCTGTGGTGACGATCACCTCTATACAGTGTATACCCTTCGAGACTGATGATATCATCAGGAATGTTGTTATTTAACCAGGTTTCCGATAGTGTTATGATATCATACTTGTTGAAAAATGCATCTTTAAAATAAGCGTATTTGGCTGTGAGGGACCTGATGTTTAGATGACAAAAGATGAGAGACATTACGTTGAACAATTTCAAAATAACACAAAATAATAAAAAGATGTTGGCTTGTCAGAACCATTAGTGCATTATATAGAATGTTCATCTATAAAAACTCGCCTCAGATTGTTGTAATGAGCGTGTCTGTTTACGGTAGTCTCATTTCTTTGGAGCTCTGGTGTGAAATTGTTTGTGAACAATGTTTGATAACTGATTATAGTAGCTATTGATACATTGGCAGCTGGGAAATATATTTCTAAGCCTTAAGAGCAAATTTACGGGGAATAATGTGTGGAATACGTTTAATAAGTGCTAAATATTATCAATTGGAAGTGTATTAATATACGAACATCAAATAATTCTCCACTACCCCCTATATACCCCACCCCCAATTATTTACCCAGAAGGACCCCACCCCGTGAAACGTCAAAAAAATTCAGTTTGAGTGATTTTCATTTTTTTGCATTTTGCGCCACAGCCACTGGACCGATTTTCAAAAACTACAATTGCTACAACCCGCGAAATATCTTCCAAGTTACAGACCGCCGAAGGACTAGCGGACAGGTGAACAGATAGACCGACAGACCGACGGAAATGAGTGACAAAGTTTTACTGATGTACATGTCATATAACATCCAAAAAAATGGCACCCAGAAAGTTTCTTAATTTCGAGCATTTCCGGAAAAGGAGAAAAAAACCGAATTGTCTCACAATCGTTTTTATTTTTCCTGACTTTATTTGAGGTGGGATTTCAAAATTAAAAGTACATTAACATTGTCACTTCTCCTCCACTACAAGGTGGGATAATTAAGATTTCAATATGACGTTTCGTCTCTTGATCTCAGTCATCAACTTTATCTTCACTTATAGGCGCCATATTAGATGTTTCAACAGTTGAATAGAGTTTCTAGTTCTGCTTCAAAAAATATATGATGCCGTACATTTAGATTGTTGAACCCCAGTTAGTTAAAAAATACAGAATTTCCTAAATATGCCTTAAAATTATCAGAGCCATTTTGCGCTACTGCTCCTAAGTTAGTATATTTTGTTAAGGCCCATCCATCACCTACCTGCTCTTAAGGCTCCTGCCGCTTCTTTTTGTGCAGGTGGAGCAGAAGCTTCGTCTTTAGGGCAGATGCAAGGTGGCCTCCCCCCTTCCCCTTCAGCTGGTGGCAAGACACCTAAAATAAAGTCAGTAACTCAAGTAAAATATCAACAAAAGAGACAGAAGGTCAACAAGCATCATTACGGCAAATGTATTCGTCACTTTTAAATCCACGACTGTTGACCCAAAATTGGTTTCCAAAGACCTCTAGCCACACCAGAAGCAACGAGGCGAAATCAGGCAGCACCGGTCTCGATGCGCCCTGGCCACGCTCCGCTGCGCCTCTCAGTTTTGGCTCAGCAGCTGTCCAATATGGAACATATTCAATCCCGCTAAGTGCAAGGTTCAATTTACTCCATTTATCGATCCAGAGATGTATGGCGACAATTCCATGTCCATGACTGTCAGTCTCGGAGGCGGTGATCGGGATGATCAAACACAAAGTGCTTCAGAAAACGAGGAGCACAGTCCGTGAACTTGTTGCTCAAATTTCGTTGATCCTCCTGTTCCACTACGCGCTGGACCATCTCGATAACCGTCTCCGAAGTTCATAGTGGATCTGCAATAACCTTGTACCACTGTCGGACGCGTTGACCGAACATACCCTTGTCGCCATACAACTATTATCTGACGAATATCATGGGTGGGGTCCTTTTGGTATGCAGAATACGATTTATGGGACAAATCTCGCATTTGGCGGGATCAACTGACGACTGCTGAGAGAATGAACGTATCTTTTAATTCACCGGTTGCGCCAATTTTGCGTTCTCTAATTCTCGCTGGAACGACCGGTTGTACACCAAACTTGTGTTTATATTGATGGTGGAACTGTTGAATCAAAGAATACACCTTATGTGTTGCAATGCAGCTAATCTAAAGACAAAATCTGGAGAATAATCAAGTGTTTTGAACATACCTAGCTGCATGGCCGTAGCTTTTAAGTCTTTGATCTCTTCACAGCAACAGTTGTCCACTCCTACAGCGCCTACGAGAAAGGCAATCATACAGCTGAAAACTCAAACTTTATGAAAAGATGTAAATGTAGACTTGCGCTCTCTTCGTTATTTTTCATCTTGAACATGGCGTATTGTAGAGTGAACGTCACACATGCCTAGTCCCGACGGAAATTGTCATAATTAGTGGTATTTGATTAAGTAGCCTAAAAATGCTAAAACCCATGTGCTGAGGTAAGTTTCAGGAATGCTTATGAAGTTAGAGATGAAATAGAAAGCAAATGAATGTATCGTAAGGCCATGGCCAGACTGGTATCGCTTTAAATGCTAATACATCATATAATTGATTAAGATTACTTCAGCCTACATAACAATGTTGTGATGTGTCCTAACTTACCTACAGGTTGTGGAGAACCTCCACCTGGAAGAGCAGAAAATAATATCATGGTAAATTAAAAAAGCTAATCTTTTGCAAAAAATTATATATTATAATATACAGGGTGTTTTACAGCTTATCCGATAAATTTTAACCACATATTCACTGTTACGAAAGAAGTTGATTTCTCAAAAAATATTTACTAAATGTCCTACAGAAATTAAGTTATGAACCTGAGTTTCAATAATAAACTGAAAAATAAGTATCTGTATTTTGCGTTCATGGTCAACAACTGACGAAAACAAAATACCAGATATTCTTTGTTTTTTCACTCTGATAAGAACGTGTAAATAAGGTTTAATCTGTATCGTGGGTGATCTGAATGAAGAACGATCGATTTTTGTGAAGTTAAATAAGAAACTACTTTGCGAGTTTATGTTTTTAGTTATTTATTAATAAAAATGGCACATGTGTACACTAATGAGACATTGTTTTAGCGCACAAAGAAGCAGGACAAAATTCGCGAGCGGTTTCTCGTGTATGCACACCGATTTCCGAATAGGCACATACCACATCACGAACCATTTAGTTCATTTGTTTTACGTGCACCTCCTATTGCAGATTTGTGCCCCATTCTTGGAGTGGATGGGGGTCGGGTTCGCCCGCAACACGTTTTAAATGCTGAAGACGAAGTAAGCACAAGGCAGTTAGCCCAACAGGTCCTTAAAGTGTCACATGTAGGCGTGGCGCACATTGCATATTATTTTATTATCTCGATTTTTGTATGACTTTTATTACATTTTTTTGAGAAATCAACTTGTTTCGTATCAGTGCATATGTGGTTAAAATTTGTCGGATAATTTGTAAAACACCCTGTACAATTTTATAATAAAATACATATCCGATACTGTGATGTATCTAAAACAGCATGCTGTATAAAGTTGTAAGGTAGCTCTCGTTCATCCGTCCATAGACGGCAACCGATGGATAGCCTTTTCGAACTACCTGGCTGTAGCCTGATGTAGGCTTGGTGGACAACGAAGAAAAGCTGAGCAGACTAAAAGGTGTATCGAAATAAGACAGCACAAAGTGCCATCTATTACCAGAATCGACCACTGCGAATACGAAAACAGCAAGCTACCTGTTGGAGCTGCATCCCATTCCGCATCATCATCCGAGTCACTTGAGGCCACTAGATGCCACCGATGGTACTACAGCTTCGCTGTCTTCATTTCCGGATTGGTCAGATCTGATAACAGATGGCACTTTATGCTGTCTTACTTCTGTATACCCTATATTGTGGTAGAATTGCTCAGGTTTTGTTTATTGTCCATCGAGAGTAAACCTGCATCATGCTGAAGAGTTGCCAAATAGCAAGAAACAGCTGGCCATGGTTGACAATATGTGGTCAGACGAATGGAAGCTACATTACTAGTTTGTTCAGTTGCGATTAGAGCGTATCTACTCGTATTATAGCACTAGAATCGGCGGTATCTAGCGGCCACACTGCCGACAATGCAAATTAAGGTACAGTTCCAATGAATATCCAGCTTCACCTTCGCAGTGGCCGATTCTGGTAATAGATGGCACTTTGTTCTGTCTTATTGCAACAAGCTGTCTGTATTAACTCACCCGCAGGCGGTGCTTTATCCTTGGCGGGCGGTGCATCATCGTCGGCCGGAGGTGCTTGGCCCTCGACCGTAGATACCTCGGCGACAGCAGGAGGAGCTTTTTCCTCAGCTGGAAGAGCTTCTTCTTCAGCTGGAGGTGATTCTTCCTCGGCAGGTGGTGCCCCGTCATCAGCAGGTGGTGCTTCTTCCTCAGCTGGGGCTGATTCTTCCTCGATGGGTGGTGCTTCAGCAGCTGAGGCTTCGTCCTCTGCTGGAGTGTCTACAATGGAAGCGACTTTAGGGGAAGGGGCAGCGACGGCGGGTCTCGGAGTCCCTTCTGGACGTATTGCTGGCAAGGCGGCGCATTTCTGGCAGACTTCTGGTGACCTTGGAGAATTTGATTCATTTTTTATAGGAAAACGCATCACCTTGAAAACCACAATGAATTGATCCTATGCTTCCGCGCTTTGCCCTTGAAATTTCAAAAAAAGAACTCAAGTGAAATCGAAACTTGGTATGTTCACTTAAGCAAGGAATATTGTAACCACTACACAACAAACTGTGAAAAATGAATCATATTTTTGTTTCAACGGTAAAGGCATGGAAAATACGTGAGCTTACTGAATTTGCTCTTGATCCGTAGTGCTGTATTAACAACTAAATAATTCTTTAAACTAAACTCAAAATACTCTTTAAGGTCTTGTAGGGGAAGGCTTGATTCTTAGTTTAGAGACAAAGCAATTTAAAAAAATATGATCTACAGGCTTTTTCGGATGTTACCAAAATAATCGTTTCCTCTCAAAAATACGTATATGTAAAAACTCACAAATGCTTCGTACGGAGCAAAAAAAAACGTATTATAACAAACGTGATTATGAAAGTAATCGAGTCGGTTTTCTAAGTAGGTCTTCGCCTGGTCTACCCTGTCTACTAACCGTGTAGGCCCACATATCAAGCACTCGACCTCACACGGTGACTTAGGAGGTCCCTCGTCCCCAGGCGATCCTTGTAAAGCCCTTTCGTTGATAGTGTTCATCAGCTTGGTGGATGCCGATATGAACTTGATCATGCTGTCCATCATAGTCTTCCATGCTTCCAGCTCTTCTGGGTTTTTGCTTAATGGGTACTGCGCCATGATGGTTGTGCGGTAATGATGGTATTGCTTTGGATTTTTATATCTTGAGGATGAGTTTACTTAAATTTTGTGAATGATGGGAGAAATGAGGGTGAACGTCATCGTGACAAATGTAATTTGCAACCGATAGTTGCCAATATTGTCTTTCATGGGCAGGTAGAAATGGTAATGAACGGGTGCTGCATACTGGGGGTCATGCTTTCCACTCCCCACCTACAGAAAGAAAATAATAGGGCTTTCTATGATCTCACAGTAAGAATCCTTGTCTTTCGTTGTCAGTCTACCTGCCTACCCGCATATCTGTTTTTCAGTTGGCATCCCGGACCAACCAGTATTGCAACAGAATGGAATAAAACAAAGAATATCAAACACATTTGCAAACGTCTGACTTGACAAGGAAATCGACCATATTTTCTATGTTCCTCCCTGACATACAGGGTGTAAAGTTAGTAGTGGATCAACGGAAGTCAGGTGATAGAGAGCCTTAAGACCTATCGAATAAGCTCCTATATGTGAGGTCCAAAATTTTATAGTTCAGCAGACATTTGCGATTTTGTGAAATTTCAAAAGAAAAACGGTATAATGAACTTTCAATCGCAATTACAACTCAATCATTAGGTTTAGGGCTGTGATTTTTTTTTCTGAGATGAGCCAAATGGTTTTAACAGGGCTTATTGGATGTACCTTTGGACGTTAGAGGCCGCATGTATTTTCAATGCGATGGTGCCCCATGCCACTTTGCACGGGATTTACGGCATTACTTAGACAGTGCCTTTCCGGGGCGTTGGATAGGTATAGAGGTGGACATATACGATGGCCTCTAAGGTCGCCCGATTTAGATCCTTTAGATTTTTTTATATGGCGGTTTTATAAGGGAATAATCTATACAATTGAATATACAAATGCCAACTAACTGCGCCAGAAAATTGATGAAGTAAAAACAAAAATTATGGAAAACGCAAATTCATTTCAAAGACTGAAGGATAATTTTGTTAGAAGGTGTCGCTTGGGTATAGAAAATAACGGAGGCCACTGGTACAATTTCCAAGTGTCAATCGTATTTATTGAAAACGTATTTAAATGACAGATTCGTAAAATAATAAAAATCGAATTTGTGAAGATCTTTAACACACAGACATTCTTTAAATATCGTCAGTGGCATAAACAAAAAGAAACAACTGAAAATTATATTATTTGTTAATGATCAGGAATAGATCAGCATGTTCAAATATAATGAAAACCAAACATTTAAGCCACTAGATGTTTAGTAATCCTTATATTTCCTAGTTAACTCGGTCAAGGGTAAAATTGTACGGGCCTATGTACCTGGAACCATCAGAGATGGCAAATCAACGTTGGCGCTGGAAATGGCGGCATTCCATCCCCCTCAAACTACAATTAACATCATTAATTCCGGTTAGTTTTCATTCTCTCTGGTCGGCACGTTGCTGCTTGTATATCCTTCTGGGATAACAGGGATTCCATGGGGATTCCAGCATCTGGGTAGATTGCAAACAGAATGTTCGATAGCGTTTATAGGATCGAGTTGCATAAAGTATTCCTTGCATTTTAAGAGTATGTCAGCAATTTCTGAAAATCGTATGTAGAAACTGAAACTACACTGTGTCATCAACAGTGAGATGCCATCAGCAAAACAGCATTATGCTTAAGAATCGGCCATTTTCAGGCAAGATATAAGGTAGACAAGCAAATAAAGTATTTCTTGCCCAACAGAGTTCCTATTACAAGACAATTTAAGCAATAAAGAAAAAATATGCCATATGTATTACTGAACCAAAGGTAACTAACAGGAGGAAAACATGCTAGTTACTGATAAGCGGACATTAAAAAAACATAAACACATGAAATGAAAACAAACGCATAAGTAAAAATCAACTCAAATAAGCTTGTGAGATAGAATAGAAAAACACTTTAAGAATCAGCATGTATATTATAATGTATTAATCTCCCTATATACAGGGAAATGACAACGTGTCAAATTTGTTCCTCGTAAAGAATTTTGAGAGTTTTTGGTGGAGCGGATATAAACTTTGGCAGAACGAGCTGCACCAAAGTATCGTATTGCATACCAGGTAGCCGAAATCAAGAGAATGAAGGACTGCGTCGATTGTATGAATGCCCAAGTTTTTAGCCTCACTAATATCTTCAATAAATATTTTGAATTTGAATTTGAATTTGAAATCCATATCTCACAGCTTACTTAAGACAGGTAAATTTCGACATGACAGCACAAATGACCCACGAACTACGGCAAAAGATAATGTACAGGGTAGTGATTTCACTCCTGCCCAACGTCAGAAAAAGCGACCAGTGACTAAACTGATTTTCTTCCTCTACCTACTAAGAAATCCCCAATTAATATCAGCTCAATTAACATAACACCGTCTGTGCCTGATCCTTCAGCTGATTCTGCCAACCATTCAAAGAACCCTCATTTGAGCTAGGGGTGCATGTCACCTAGATCTAATCTGATTGACATTTCTATGGCTCGCTCACAAGCTGCAACACAGGCTTATAGCAACACATCTTTTCCTTCTAACGATACCCTCGGCAAGGGACCGAATCGTCTCGACAGCGGCGTGTTGCACCTATTGTGCGCGGGATGCGACAAAATGTCGCACAATCAGTTACTCTTTCATCAGCCTTGGTATTAACATTGATCGCGCAGTATCCTTTGATGCTAGGATACGGATCATAGCCAAAATCAAAGGACGAGTATCGAAGGAAAATGCATTCTTTCAAATAGGAAAATATTCTTCGCCATACATTTCCTGTACTCTCCAAGCGTAACATCCACGTTGCTATCAGGAGGATCTTAGCATCAACAACTGAGCGAAAAATCAAAGGTGAGCTCGAACAGAAGTAATATGGCCCTTTCACATAATTCACTTGAAGCGCAACGGCGGCGTGACCATGCCATTCGTAGTTATGATCCTGCCAAAAACAGATACGTCACAGCGTGTGTTCAACGAACAGGAATTGCTGGAGCTATTTATCACAGCTGAGGTTTAAACGAACGGTCGACTGATTTGAAAGTGTCATCGCTTCCAGAAGTTTTGAAATGAACAACGTCTCAAATATGCTCAAGACTATATGGAACATCTGTGCCCTCAAACACGACAATATGCAAATATGCAAACTGAGGAAGGGACTATCCAGCCAATAGTCCTACCTGCTGTAGATTCACTCCTAGGATAAATCTGTAGGTCATCGCACAAAAGCGAGTAAAACCATACACAGACGCAACAAAGGATTACACTTTAGCTGCTCCCGCTGCGTCTAGCTCAACTTCGACTGCTAAAAATGTGGACCTGGCAATAAAGCTCAGGTCCTTGCGGCAAAAAATTGCTCCCCTGAGAAGCGCTATACAGGTATCGCAGGCAGCCTTCCCGTTAAATGGCTAGATACAACAGTAGATAACCTGGATTCATCAAAATTCTTTCCAGGAATTGTTTGGGCCTTCAGGATATTCCCAAAAAGCGGGAGGCTCTTTTAGATGAAGGTATACATTTGGCTCTGCTGTATGAAACATTGCTTAATCCGGAAGATTGTATAATTTTTCTATGTTATCTGGAGCAGATAGATTAAATGAACCCGGCAACGGCTTGGTGCCGCTTGTGAAACATGCCATTGACTACCTTAGAAACACAAAGGTCGAGATGCAGAGCTTCCGTGGTGGTGATTATGACGGGAGGGCCATGGGTCAGGTGTGGTGTCAGGCTACCGAATACAGGTCTGGAAGCCCTCATGGACTGCTCAGGTCCGCTTATTGTGGCAAGGGACTCAAATTGCAAACACTGAGCAAGGGATTGTAGGTTGAATTCCACCAGTGGGATCTGACTGTACAACCATGTGAATCGAAACGGCTACCTCAGACACAATACTGAAGAGCCTACACACCACCCATTTAATAACTTTCAAGCACCAGATGTCATTCACTTTGCAGTACCTAGAATCTGCAGATTCAGTATCACTTCTCGAATTATGTATGACATTTCAAGCGATTATCTTGCTGTGGAAGTGGTTAATAAGCTAACCTTGGAAGAGGGAGCTCCTCCAAGGGATCGGGTTGATTGGTTGTGATACATATTGCTTATTAGATAGACTGAAGTTTTCATCTTTGTAAAGTGGCGAACAGCGTCAGTAATCACGGCGCCAATATTAGTGATTCTTCCTCAAAAGATTCTTCTTTGTAAGATTGTCCAACTGAAGAGATACATAACCATTATAATATACTGAAATATATTCATGAAACAAGACTGTATAAATGACAAAAAGGCGTATGAAATCTAGGAGGACAATTTTCTTAAAAACAATGATCTAACGGTCAATTTCACTGAATGGAGCTAAGATTTAATTTGACTGCCTTGATAGATAAAAGTTTATAATAGTGTGATGCAAAGTTGTTGCATAGTTATTAATCATAAGGTTAGCAAACAAATACATATCCTACGTATCCAACAGTATATGATTAACTCGATGTAAGGCACTATAATATCGTACATTTATCAACTAGAGACTCTAGGGTAAACAAAAAATTAAATTCGATTTTGAGAATGAAAAGTCTCCGTCGTAATCCCCAACTGGCTCCAATATACCTTATCTAAATGTCTCCGTTCCCGACCATTTCGTTCCTGAAATGTTTTTTACTTTTACAATCTTGGATAAAGTAGCACTAGTCCGGTAGACTTAAAATAAAAAACAATGGATCCTAGATTTCATGAGAAACTTAACTTAGGGCCATGAAAACTAGAGATAGGAGGTTAAACTCATCGAGTGACAAAAATCCCGACAATTGTGTGAGTTGGTATGCTGCGCAGCATATGAATTTCACGGGCTGCTCATAGGGCATCTCTCTCAGATTCTGCGTATGTGACATCTCTCTCTGTCGCCGTCGTCATGACTGTAAACAACTCCAATTTTGACAGTTCAGACGCGTTGCAAGCAGAAATATGTAACCCTTGTGCAGCTTAACCTGATATCTCCAGTCTTCGTGCTAAGCACACAAATATTGTATTTTTCATGAGGGTCCATTATGGTAGAATAACAGCTGATCATATAGTAATATTACAAAATTTCCCATATTGACAAGTGACACGCAATTCTAGAGACAACACCACGTGGACAGACCTGCATTTTGTTGTGGTCTTATGTTTATGGTTTCTTGTATGCATTTTGTATTTGCTATTTTAGACTGCATTTCAAGTCAGGTAGGAATAAAAGAAGATACACTATTTTTGACTATGTTAATCATATCTACTTTTTAGAACGCGAAACACCCTATGATTTTAAAGGTAAGTGAAACAGACATATTTGAATCAAGTGAGAACGAATACATCAAATAATAAA